TCTATACTTAGTCACACCTCTGATGCTCCTGATAACTTCACTGGACGCTTACAAAAGTTAATTCAGAGAATAGTGCTCATAGTGAACTAATGGACACTACTGCAGTGAGGAGCGTCCTTGCGTAAATTACTATTACGCTACTAGCAAGTTCATGCTAAATCAGACCTTTATAACCTTCGTACGTCGGCCTCTATTGCGTGCAGCACAGTGTATGCGGATAATTGGCAGGACGTTGTTCAAAGGCACTAATCGACTTAGTCGCAATCAAGATTCCAGAAAGTAGGGTGTCCCGTATAAGTTGAGCGCTGCCTAGATTGCCGCATCTCCACGTTGGGGGTCGCGACGTCAACCAGACAACTAGGCCCTGCTCTACATTCCACTGTTATTTTTAGTACCTAATAGATGTTCGGCTCCATTCTGCCTGGCTTAAAGATGGGCAGCTAACACAATAAAGTCTACTTAAACCCGTACAAAGTACCACGTTAATCATAAAATGTGACAGTAATTCCTAGAAAAGAAGAAAAAAGGAAATCTGTTTATTGCCAACTGTGTCAGTAAAGGATTTAATAAGTTTCAGTCAGGAGGGTCTTGTCTCAAAACCACTTATCTCAACCACCTGCCTTCCGGTCGGATAGCATAACTCCTCAAATCTTGACCAGAGGATGCCTAATAGGCAGCAACATGCATTTTTCCGACAATGTCCAAAAAACCTCCACGCATAACGGAGTTCAGCGACTAAACCTATTCAGGAAGGCAAACTCATCCAAAGATTGTCTCCATTAATCGTCTTCAGATTTGTACAATAAGGTGGAAAAAACCAAACGTTTGGTGAGGTGTTTAAGGGTGTGTGGACAGGTCTGAATAGCGGCCACCAGACAGACGTCAACCAAACATTTCGAGTACTGCCAAGTGGTTTTTTTAACTTTCAACGTGTTTTCGTGATGTGTCGAGCTGCTTATGACTAATCGAAAATCTACCGAATATAATTTCTTCGGTAATGACACTGCTTAGCTGGTACTGCTGTAAAATATAGAACAGCCATTGTGGCTTCTTAATTTCCTCAGGAATTAAGCTCTTACCTTTAGTAGATCGGTACATTCGAGGGTCCATTGGCGCGGACCGAAATTCGATATGAATACCTGGGTCGATGTCCAATGCTCAATGTACATAAAGAGTTACTTTAAATTTGTCAGTAAGCATAAATTTGTAAAGACACGTCAGGCACTGGTCGAAATGAAGACGCTAAAGCCGTTTTGAAAGTTAATTACGGAACACCAAGGAATCACTGGCAGTGTTGGTGACGGAAATTCCCCACAGACCTGCGCGCGCGTAATCGCGGAAAAATTGTGTTCAGTTTCCGTGGCTGAGAGTTACTTAACCAAAAGTCCGCGTACAGATCAACGTCGAGGCATGTTAACCCAGCGGAACTCCCGAACTGCCGTTCAGTGCAGACACTGAATCAGAACTATCCGTAAATCAGTTTATTAAATAGTAATTAGTTCACATAGATGGCGCATAAACATCCAAATTAGATTGGAGAGATACAATCCCTTTTTAGTTTCCTGCTGGCTGTGAGATACTTCGAGGACATAATATAAGCTGGCGAGTTTCTTCCTAAGATACAAAATTAGTTCTCTCTTTTCGAAAACATTTCCAAAAAACCGTTTCGGACCATGAAGTAGCTCGTGCACATGAGGCAAACTGGGACCATTTTCGTGAAGTGACCGATCACTATGAGAGTGGTGGTATACCATCAGACGCCTCGGCCAAGATCGACCGTTGACCGCGTGAAAACTTCGAGCATACGTTCAAGCTTTGCTCTTCATACAGTAATGTAGATGCAAGTGTCCATAAAAATTTTAAAAAAAATCAGCAAACCACCAAGCTATACAAGCTATTTGCCAGAACATCAGGAAATACGGTTAATGACCGCCATCGAACGCTTTGCTTTGGGCAAAGCTGTGAGCAAGCGTGCAATATTTGCGTTTCCTGTAGTCCAGGCACCAGTGGATACAGCTGCGGGCAGCGTCCAATTATTTATTCGTTTGTTGGTCTAGGCAGAAGTAACAAAATGTCCTCGCTTTTTTAACGTTACTTCAAGTCGAACAGCAAACAATACCATGAGCAAATCAAGCACTTCAGTTGAGTATAAAAGGGAGAGGAGTTTGTGCGGCTGCATCGTAAACCCAAACAAGCCATCGCAATGAAACTTCTTCTGACTGTGCTACTCCTCGGACTCCTGCTGCAGGTAACCCTGGCCAAGGAGAAACCTGAAGAGGATGAGGAGGATGAGACGAAGGA